TGTTTGCAACCCATGTTAAAATTGACAGTAAACTAATATAGTTCTGAACAAAAATATGCGGAATTTGTTTCTATACCTAAAAGCAACCTAAAAGTGTCAGCTACCAAACCTTGAAAAAAATTATAAGATTCATAGAATAGCAAAACAAACATAAGCTATCTATTTCTGCAAACCGAAATTACTTCTTGCCAACCTAATATAATTTTGTTATAATTTACAACCATTAAAAGCACTTCACTGCATATTTATCAAATTGGATATAGGAGTGATTTTTGCTAAATACTTCTTTCCACAGCCCCACATTTTATTACTTTAGAAATATACAGCAAACTATTTTTTTTGGAATGTATAGCAGTTATATCGACTAATAAACAATAACGAAGGGCATATTGCTAAATCCTAATCAAGTTTTATTCAGCTCGTATCCTATTCACGTTTTAGTATTTCAAAGCAGTTTATACATATATATTGTCTAAGTTACACAAATTTGAAATAATTATGAATTAATGAAATACAATAATATACAATAATGAAAATACAATAATATTGTTAAGAAATTTGTATCTCTGTAAATAATTTTAGTGAAATTATAGTATTGTTTGTAGAATATAACATGCAATGCTTTCAAGAGTAGAAGCTCTGACAAAAAAATAAGATTAGCAATGCAAGTCTCTAACATTAAGTAGCATTAAGTAAACGGCTATTTTGCTAAGTTGGCTAGATATCACCAAGCTGACACAAGTTTTAGCAACTATCTCGTGTCGCCAAATTTGGCGAGAAATCACCAAAAGGGGCTAAACTTGGCGACCATTAGGCAATGTTTCGGTCCGGTCCCTGTATAACTAAATAACTGCAATTGATTCCTATACGTAATTTTAATCGTGTACGCCTTGCAGTAATTTAGAGAAATGGACGGTGCTAGAGATTTCTCGGCGGCTGGGTGAAAACTGTGTGTATAAGACAGTGGGAGCATTTGCTCTCAGTTATTTAGTTCAGCTTGAGTTTGGAGAATGAGAGATCTCCGTAGGAGTTTCAGCTTTTTAAATGCGCTTTGAATTGCACTGTATTTAACGTTGTCAGTAACTTGAAGTGTAACTACTGAATGTGCTCTGTGATATTGAGAAGAGATATATAAGTATTTTTTGTGGAAAGTTCCAGAGCTGTAAAGCGTTTCTTTTGGTAAAATAAATTTAATCAAGCTATGATTGGTTTCTTGTGCATTCAATCTATTACGATCCTGTACGCATGCAACAATATGGACTTCAAATGATTTTGTGTTCTATTTTTGTTATCTTCGAGAATAACGCTTTATATAATTTTCTCGTCTTACACACGATAGCATGCTAAAAATTATTTCATTTTAAATTAGTGAGGCGAAGTCACCTGATCATAAAAAATAATGCTTGTGGGTTCCTGTAAATGTGACTTTCTTGCTGTATTATTCTTTACGCCGAAAAAACAACTCATGCACGTTCATCAACTCATTCATCATACGCGTGAATTCTTGCAACTACTTTTATTTATATACTTGTGTATTTATTACTATTACGAATCACTCTATGCGCGGAACAATTGAAATAAGGTGGGGAATACACCAATATAAAAGTTTATTTTGCTTTCTCCCATGAAAGAGAAGCTGGCCAATTTAAATGAAAGATAAGATTGTCCTAGGGATTGACGTGTGAAACATAGTCGTTCGAATCGTGTTCTGATTAAGGTTTAACCGAAATGGTTTTGAAATCCACTTTTAGATATATCGTCATTTAATTTTGCATGTGAAAATAGGTACTTTGCGCATATGCCAAAAACGAATTCTGAAGATGGTGTATACAATTACATAACATTTCTGAGAGCTTGGCAGCCGAGATATACTGACGCAAAAGGTAGTAGTAGTATTTAGAGATTGAGTGCTTTTGATATTTTTGCTCGAAATAAAATGTCTTACTTTAGGATTTTTTTTTATTTTATAAGTAATATTTGTCACTGAGAAATCAATTTATCTACATTTATTTTTCATTTGTCAAACTAAAAATTGTCGCTGGAAGTAAATGTTTTAACTTTCAATTTAAGTATAATCGAATAATATGGGTCTTTCAAAAATCATGATTGGCCAATAATTTTTGCTTCTAAGAAAATTCAGCACCCATCAATTATTCCATGATAGCCGTTGATTCCTCTAAGAAAGCTGACATTTTTATTCTCGAAAAAGCTAAAACTTGAAAGCAAAAGCGAGAATGTGTATTCTCGATCATATTTTTATAGCACAGTTTCAATTAATTGTCAGGCATACTAACCAAACTGCGTGACTAGATTCCTCTGACCTCATTTAGGTGCTCTCAAGTATTTTCGGAGTTCCTTTCTTGGTAGGAGCTATAATTAATCTACTTTCTATAATATAACACTCAATGAATGTTTTAAGTCTTTTTGACTGGAATGCAAAGGAGTAAATTTGATATTATTGAAAATATAAATTAAATCTCTAGTCCGTGTAGATGGGAGCAAAATTTAAATTTGATCTTAGATAAGAGGTCCAGATTTTAAAGCATTTTTGCTCAGTCTTTATTTATTTATTTATTTATTTATTTATTTTTTCAGTTTATTTCTCCACCTTAAATTTTAGTTAAGTAACGCAGTAAGAATTTCAGCCAAGTTTTATTAGAAGTGATTTTAAAATTTGATTTTTTTAATAAGGTATTCTGTGTTGAGGGTTCTTATTGTCGCAACAATATTGAAGAATTAATTCCGAACGGTCCCTTTTCGTGCAAATATTATTTATAGGATAAAAAGTAGTGTGTGTTCGATCTTGTAATTCCTAAAAACTAATTACTTTCTTGTGATGTTAAATTTAATCTTCTAAATTTTGAAATTCATTTTAGCTGGAATGCGAAAGTAAATTAAAGAAGATATAGGGTACATGGTGAACCATACATATGTTCTCGAAACTTTTCGTATTCGTATTTAAATTAAATCCTAAAAAAATCCAACAATGGATAATAAAACTAAAACGCGTAACGAAAATGAATAAAGGTTCATCACTTTAAAATGTTTTTAAGAAAGGATTAGTGTATAGAAAGTTACAACTTATTCATAAAGAAATAAGATATTTGAAGTTTCATGTATACAGTTTCCTGAAACCGATTTTTATAATTCTGGTACATGATAATTTAATTTTTGAATACAATAATATAATAACTCTGGAAATAATTCTGGCAATTTTTAATATAATTTCATTAGTTTGGAGATTATATTATGTAATATTGTTTTATACCATCAAAAACAGAATTTCTATAATTTGCTTCATAATTCATTTGAAGATTCCCTAAATGCACTTAATTTATAAGTAATTATTTTACTTGGTTACGGCAATGCACGTGAGTGATATCTCCCTAAAAGTAGAGATATTTTCGTGGAGGACTTTGTAAAGGAAACTGTCTGGTATCTACTTTGCACATGGAGAAAACCCAGATTCCATACAACCAGCCCATTCGCCTGATTTGTTACAAAAATCGAACTTTTAAGCTTTCATTATCATATAATCTTCTAGCGTAATTTTGAGAAACATTTACAAAACTGCTGCCAGTCTTTTAACTGCGAAGGTCCATTTTATTTTCCAGTACTCCTCCGTTAAGAAACTTGCAAGGCACAAAAATTGTGCGTCCTGAATATCATGCACCCAGTTACGTCAAAAGTTTGACAAATTGCTAAATGACGGGCACTCAGAAGCATTTCTGATGTTAGTACGAAGTACTTGTTAGTGCGATCATCTTTTTAGTTGATTTCCGCTCGATTAGTTATGGTCTACTTCTTTCACTACTTAATTTCTTCATTCTTTAACATAAATATAATTATAGTTTTGAAAAGTACATGCAAAATTTAGTAGAGAAGGATATAAAATTAACCTGTTTTTTATATCATAATTTATTAAGTTCAACGTGTGGTTCATAAATATTGTTTTATTTTTGATTAACGCTTAAAAATGCCTTTTTCATTAATTCCTTTGTAAACATGGTACAATTTTCTTTGTTTTAAAATTTACTAAAGGTATTAACTAAAGCTTATTCGCTCGTTATCAAAGCAAACTCCTTAATTCATCAAACTGAATTCAATAAGAAAGCAAAAATATTTTTTATTTCTAATTTTTCTTTCATAACTTCAAATGCCACAGGTTTAGTTTTTAACTGAAGAATCAATAATGCCAGTTTTACTCAAGCGTTTTGTAAAACATATACTGTAAACTTATTCACATATGAGCGAGGACATAATTTGAATAAAGTGTCTAATATTGACATTTGATGAAAATGGAGTTTATCAACATTAAAAATTATCAATTTTTACATTTTATGAATGCAGATTTTCTAGTTTTTGTGAAAAAAAAATTTGCTCGTTACAATGAAATCATTTTATCTGATCGGTTTTTATTTGCAGCATCATAAATATAACGTCGCAAGCATTAAATTATCTGGACTTAATAAAGCGAATTAATCTACAAAATATTTACTAATTTTAATTTTTAACTTACATAATAATTTATAAAAATATAAATGCCTTCACGTAGATAGATGAATTTCATTGTTTTCATCTTACGTAATATAAAAATTTCATAAAATACACTCAATGAACACAATATTAAATTTCATAAAATATGCTCAAGAAAAGAAGCTTTTAATTAAACTGTATTATGTATTAGATGAGAGATTATATTTTCATTAAATATCATTAATTCGTGATTAAAATTTGTTTCATGTTTACAGCAAGAAAAGAACGTCATTAAAAATACATTACCATGTAAGGTTTTAAAAATAAAATAATTTACTTTAAACGAGGAAGAAATATTTTAAAGAATTATTATTACTATTAAAGAAAATATTCCAAAACCTTTCTCTTAGTTATACCTGCATCATCCTAAATTCCCGGTCTAGCTATAGATCGCTCAGAACTCAGAAAGGAAAAATAAAAAAGAATGCTGAGAAGATTCAATTTTGAATAAATACTGCACTTACCTTTGGTAAGAATCCCTATCACCGAACCAGGTGTGGCGCAAAGCCACCACTTTATTCTGAAGTGTATAAAAATGTCCCCACTTGAGCCGAGAGAAGGAGAGTTAAGATCTTGCAGCTCTTTCAGACCGCCATGACTACCGCCTTCCTCATCCTCCAGGTCGCGAGCATACCAGCCTGCCATCTGTCGGTAAATGATAGAACTATCGATTACCGCTCAAGTGGAAGGAAGACCTTTGAATACCGACGCATACTAGAAGTGAAAAAAATGCTTTCCGCGGATTTAATAATTAAAAATTGAGAATTCAGTAAATGCTGATAGTATAGTTGAGTAAAAAGAGAGTATAGCTGGTTTCAGCGAGAATGTTGTAGGAAGTTCATAATGAAGAAAGAGTACTTTGAGGGAAATATTTACTTTCCTCTACAGTTACGTGAATAATAAGATAAAAAGAATTTCACATAATCGAAACAGTGTAAAAATAACCAGTGAATTTATCTTATTTGTTTTTAGACTTTTAAGACACTATCATTAAATTAGCAAAGATAAAAAGAATTTCACATAATCGAAACAGTGTAAAAATAACCAGTGAATTTATCTTATTTGTTTTTAGACTTTTAAGACACTATTAAATTAGCAAAGCACTATCATTAAATTAGCTAATAAAAGAATTTCACATAATCGAAACAGTGTAAAAATAACCAGTGAATTTATCTATTTGTTTTTAGACTTTAAGACAATATTATTAGCAAGCACTATCATTAAATTAGCTAAGATAAAAAGAATTTCACATAATCGAAACAGTGTAAAAATAACCAGTGAATTTATCTTATTTGTTTTTAGACTTTTAAGACACTATTATTAAATTAGCAAAGCACTATCATTAAATTAGCAAAGATAAAAAGAATTTCACATAATCGAAACAGTGTAAAAATAACCAGTGAATTTATCTTATTTGTTTTTAGACTTTTAAGACACTATTATTAAATTAGCAAAGCACTATCATTAAATTAGCTAAGATAAAAAGAATTTCACATAATCGAAACAGTGTAAAAATAACCAGTGAATTTATCTTATTTGTTTTTAGACTTTTAAGACACTATTATTAAATTAGCTAAAGCACTATCATTAAATTAGCAAAGATAAAAAGAATTTCACATAATCGAAACAGTGTAAAAATAACCAGTGAATTTATCTTATTTGTTTTTAGACTTTTAAGACACTATTATTAAATTAGCAAAGCACTATCATTAAATTAGCTAAGATAAAAAGAATTTCACATAATCGAAACAGTGTAAAAATAACCAGTGAATTTATCTTATTTGTTTTTAGACTTTTAAGACACTATCATTAAATTAGCAAAGCAACAACCTGGTGTTTGGGGTAGATTTAGCAAGAACTCAACCGATTTCGAAGGCAACCAGGTACAGGTCCCTCTTCATCAACAGAAAAGAAATATGCAGCCTTGTTTTTGCTTAAATCTACATTAAAACAGAAAACTTTTTTTTTTTTTTTTTTTTTTTAAGTTTCACTTTTTCGTATTTCTATTGGGCCCACCAGCGGCCGAGCGGTAAAGTCGCTGAACACTGGTAGTTCGGTCCGAGGTTCAAATCCCGCGAACGGGCTGGCTGCATGGGCGCTTTCGTGGTTTTCCCCATATGTAACGTGTATACGAGACAGTTTCCCTTAGAAAGTCCTCCACGAAGGCATCCCTCCTCTTAGGCAGATAGCCCTCGAGGCTTTGCCATAATCACACACACACACATATTTCTATTGTTTTCATCTTTCATTATTTAAACATAAAAATATAGTAGTTTTATAATAAAAGCAAGTAATTCCGTATGCATAAACAGAGCATGTAGGAAATTTCGGCTCAAGAGACAATTTAAATTTAGTAATGATACGAATCTTAGGTTTTGATTATACTTGTTCTTGGTATTCCAGTAACGAAAAATGATATTTTAAATTTAAAAATTCGCGTGTACAGACTTTTTTATGAAATATGCAGTAAGAAATATGAGTTTCTTTCTTAAACCAATAAATTTACGACAGAAAACATTTCATACTTTAGACTGCATATTTATATGTAATAATAAAGAATATTTCGAAACCTTTCTATTTTATATAAATATACATCAATATTTATCTGTTAATAGCATGCAGTATTCGTTTAGAAAACAGTAAGAAACAGATCCACCATGTAACCAGAGCTTTTTTTGTTGATAATGACAATTTAAGAACACTGTGTGTCTGAGAAAAGGCCTGAACCCAGATACCACGTTTAACAAATCATTGAGAAAAATTTTAATTTTACCTGTAGCCCTCGAAAAACGGCAATTACGCTATCCCCGGTTTTGGTACTTCGCTGCCAACCACTTGAAAGATCTTACAAGAGCGACTGCAAGCGAAACCATACCATTTGCAGATGTTGCAACATTTTAAACTAGTTAATTAAGATCTAACTAGTTAACAACATTTAAAATTATCATTTTTATCAACATTTTAAACTAGTTAATTATATTGGGCGATTTTAATATCGCTATCACATACAAGATTCATTGCAAACCGAAGATTCTGTCGACTGTATAATATTCTCTTACGAAGCGATGTTGCATTTGTGGAATTGGTAAACCCTAATAATGTTCAAACACGAAACATAAAAAATTTTCATGCTGTTGTCGAACGGAAACGAAATTTCCCAAACAAAACATCTTCTATGTCATTTTGCTAGCAAATATTTATGGACACTTTTTGTTCTTCGAGGATACTGTGATAGCTGTCTCTTCATATGTTTCAGTTCAAATTGTTTCCTCAAATGAAAGATGATTTAGACAATTTTATTTGCTACAAGATGTAGCTCCATCTCTTTGATACGAGTACAGGTTGAAGCAAGTGCCGACACCTGTGCATTCAGGTAGGCATACTGGGTACCACAGGGCCTTGTTAACTTCTAAGCTTCCACCCCGGATAAAATTCTGAGGGAGAATATCCCGGCGTGCAGTCCGAGAGTCTCTCACACTTATTACCTACCAGCAATTGCTCGAGAGAACTTTCAGCTCGCCGTTATTTTCAGTGTCCCCTTGCCGCAGAGACACTATACACTTACAAACATCCATGTGTTCTCTAGGATTCGAAGCCGGGCTTATCGGTACGGCAGTCAGCGTTACTAACCACTATCCTGTCTGGGCAGTATCTCATTGATACACTTTGATCTAAGACAGAAGGCCAAGAAGCGATCTCCTTGATACAATATGATATCTTGCTACCTAAATGAATAACTCTCATATCGTTGGACTAGTCAACATATAGAAGCTTGCTTAGCATGTTTCAAATGGCCAACAATGTTTCCCGATTTTAACACTACTGATTTTTCACCTGCAAAAAAGTGTTATATATCCCCACTGAGAGTAACATCAGATGACCTCCATGGCAGCATTATAGTTACTTTGGTAACCATCGGGTGGCGGCCGGAATTATTTCAAAACGTTTCTCCGCTGATGGTCAGTTAATATAAGGACAGGATTGGAGAAGCGCCTTAGATGTGTGTAGTGAAACAAAAGAGCATCAAAAATTTACAATGTTATAAATAAAGTTTGAAAGATTTATATAATATTTCATTCATTCTTACTTTCTTTTACAAAGTAAGGAAGTATGGTAACAGTAAAAAGTTTCGGGTATGATATTTCAACGGAAATATCTCTTTTGACCGTTCCAAAATGCATTTGAACTGAGTTTTTTTATTTGACATCTTGAACGTACGAATGGTTGTTTGATGATCTCCGGGAGGAGTTTGGCTCCATTCACTCCTCTCACTAGGGGACTGACCTCGAGTCAATATCTATGAATAAAAACTTATCATTCTACGAATTTTGCAACCGGATTGGTGACCTGTGTCGCAAGGTGGCCTAACGTTTCAAATTTATTGACAAGAATGAGGTATAAAGCCGCAGCGCCCACGTGGACTGTCTCTTACGTTCTGTGCAGTATTCATATTAAGGGCGAAACACTTAGGTAATGATGTCTTCCTCTTGAGTTTTAATGTAGGTACGGACAGGATAAAGGACTGTTTTTTTTCCCAAATCGGATTATAAAATTTATTTAAAACAGATTCAAAAGAGTTATTTTCCTGACGTCTGAATGTATATATGTCGCATAACTCAAAAAAGATTAGCCGTAGAACGTTTGTATATGAAACTGCTATAACATGTAGTTGTGCACCTCACTTTTTTATTTCCGGCAAAACCTAAGTGTATATATTGTATATATATACACTTATATATACTTGTATGTATATATATATATTACTCAGCCTTTCTTTTCACAATCGTTGGTCATAATCACATACTTCCAATTACAGAAGTGCTTTAAAAGTCGAAAACATTCATGTTTTGGCAATGTCCAATTGAAAAAAAAATTCTTTCGACAAATAACGAAATCTAACTTTTAACGCGGTCTTTCAGTTCCTATACTTATATCTGTAAAAATTTTATACACGTTATTAAAAAAATAAAAACTGGAATAAGTTTAACTCCCGTACGACAAAAATTGACCGGGATATATGAAAAGTTAAAGTTTTTATGTCATTTTCAATTTTCCTTGAGGTATCGGTTAATTAAATTAGAATAATTCCAGGAAATAAATGAAGTGCAGCAAAATATGTGTATAATTTACTTGGTCGTTCAAGGAAGTCATGTGGTGTCCATGTTAGATTTTTTTATCCGTAATACGTAAAAAAACACAGCTTTTTGAAATGAATCTTCTGTAATCATTCTGTATATTGCTTTCAAACGGTAGCCTCACATATTTGTTTATAAAAACTGTAAAGGGAAAAGAAAATAAAAATTATCACTATTTCAATTAATCAGTAGAAGTAGTGTGTAAAGATACTTTAATATGCATATTTAACAGTATTATACGCATTTTATTTCTGCCTTTCGAAAATATTTCCGAACAAAAAGTTACCCGTTCGCTTTAGCTGGGGTAAACGATATTCCATTGTCTGATTCAAATTTTTAATTTCAAATGTAAATAATAAAAACATTCCTTCCGTGTAGAGCCACTAGTAACCCATTGGATTAGACTCCTGAACACTGGCAATTGAAGAGATTTTTAACACTTCGAATGGGCTGGCTGCGTGAGTTTTCGTAGTTT